CAAACGTACGACACCTCCGAGTTCAGCACACGTTCAGCTCGATGACGTCCCGCGAACTCCGATCCAGCAGAGCTTCACGGGAGAGTTCCGACAGCACGACGGCGTGATGATGGTGATGATGTTGCTACCGACGCAGGGCTTTGCCTAAGCACCGCTACGATATTGCCGAGGTGGATTATGATGGAGGGGGCACCACACACGGCTAAGAGATCAATGATCAATTGTTGTGTCTAGAAGTGCCCCCTGCCCCCATATATAAAGGAGGGAGGGATAGGCCGGCCCTAGAGGGGGCGCGCCAAGTGTGGGGAGTCCTACTAGGACTCCCAAGTCCTAGTAGGATTCCCCTTTCCTTTCCGGAGTAGGAGAGAAGGAAAGAGGGGGTGAGGGAGAAGGAAAAGGGGGATGCACCCCTTGTCCAATTCGGACCAAAGGGGGGCGCGCGCCTCCTTCCTTTTGGCCTCTCTCCTCTATTCCCGTATGGCCCAATAAGGCCCATATACTCCCCGGCGAATTCCCGTAACTCTCCGGTACTCCGATAAATACCCGAATCACTCGAAACCTTTCCAATGTCCGAATATAGTCGTCCAATATATCGATCTTTACGTTTCGACCATTTCGAGACTCCTCGTCATGTCCCCGATCTCATCCGGGACTCCGAACTACCTTAGGTACATCAAAACACATAACTCATAATATAAATCGTCACCGAACTTTAAGCGTGCGGACCCTACGGGTTCGAGAACTATGTAGACATGACCGAGACACGTCTCCGGTCAATAACCAATAGCGGAACCTGGATGCTCATATTGGCTCATACATATTCTACGAAGATCTTTATCAGTCAAACCGCATAACAACATACGTTGTTCCTTTTGTCATCGGTATGTTACTTGCCCGAGATTTGATCGTCGGTATCTCAATACCTAGTTCAATCTCGTTACCGGCAAGTCTCTTTACTCGTTCTGTAATACATCATCCCGCAACTAACTCATTAGTTACAATGCTTGTAAGGCTTATAGTGATGTGCATTACCGAGTGGGCCCAGAGATACTTCTCCGACAATCGGAGTGACAAATCCTAATCTCGAAATACGCCAACCCAACAAGTATTTTCGGAGACACCTGTAGAGCACCTTTATAATCATCCATTTACGTTGTGACGTTTGGTAGCACACAAAGTGTTCCTCCGGTAAACGGAAATTGCATAATCTCATAGTCATAGGAACATGTATAAGTCATGAAGAAAGCAATAGCAACGTACTAAACGATCAAGTGCTAAGCTAACGTAATGGGTGTCAATCACATCATTCTCCTAATGATGTGATCCTGTTAATCAAATGACAATTCATGTCTATGGCTAGGAAACTTAATCATCTTTGATTCAACGAGCTAGTCAAGTAGAGGCATACTAGTGACACTATGTTTGTCTATATATTCACACATGTATTATGTTTCCGGTTAATACAATTCTAGCATGAATAATAAACATTTATCATAAAATAAAGAAATAAATAATAACTTTATTATTGCTTCTAGGGCATATTTCCTTCAATTTAACCATCATAGTTTGGGTTATATATTTTTTAAAAAGTTATATATTAAAAAATCGCATCATTAGAAACTTAAGAAAATATTGAGCTAAAAATTTATATTTTCTAATGGTACTATTTATGTGATATAAAAATTGTATTACATTTATCGATTTGTCGATGTAAGGATACACGGGCCGAAAGTCATGTTCTGCTCCCGAGCTCATTTGAGCTCGGGATGAACAGTAAAATCGAAAAAAATGAAAAACATTTCAAAAACTTCTGAATTTTTTGGGGTGGAAACATTGACAAAAATTCCCAATGCTTGCAAAATTTCATCCAAAAATGACATTCGTACAAGTCGTGGCAAAAGAAAAACAAAATCAGTACTCCAAAATGTTTTTGGAAATAACATTTTTGGAGCATCAATTTTTTTTCTGCGACTTCCACGAATGTTATTTGTGATGAAATTTTGTGAGCATTGAAAACTTTTGTCAATGTATGGACCCAAAAAAAATCAGAATTTTTTGAATTATTTTTAAATTGTTTTCGGGGTTACTGTTCACCCAAGCTGATTTAAGCTCGGGCTCAAATAAATCACGCCCGTGCCCAGGCACCTTATAAACCTGAAAGGTGGGAGTGGGCTTGCCAATAGAGCTCTCTAGTCCATAAGAAAAACACTACGCCATAATTGTTAAGGATGTGAAGGATGGCAGGGGAGGACGATATGGTGCTATCACTAAAGAAATCATTGCAAGATTGAAGGAGTTTGAAAGTTGTACTTTTATTCATGAGAGTAGAAGTAGAAATATTGAAGCCTATTCCTTAGCTAAATTTCCCTTGCCTTTAGGCATAGGCAGACATGTTTGTTTCATCCAGCCGCGCAATATTGTGACGATTCCTTTGAACTTATTTGAATAAAGAATTGCTATCCCACTCCAAAGAAAAAAAAACACTAGGCTCCTAGGAGCAACTTCCATTTCAGGAGTAAACCCTACAAATTTTAGGGATTTCAGGCTACACTTCTTTAGATTCCCCGACCCTCATTTCTACATCTAATATTAAAAGAAGGAGGCTTTCATAGTTCTCCCTAATCACCATTTTATATCCGTTAATTTTATATTAACCATAAAGATTAATTAACGGGTGAGATTTAAAAGTGGATCTACATAACATTACGTAAAGGATGTAAAGGTTTTAGCCTTTGACACATACAAGATTCAACACATGAATGTACAAAAGAAAAAGGTGCTATAACATGTTTGTATTGCCTAAAACAATGGTGTATGTATATAGGATGGGAAATAAGAATCAACCAGAAAGTGTCGGAATAGGAAACAACAAATCAATCAGGCTCCAGCTGGACGGACGCCACTACGGCCAACCACGCGTGGTAGTACGTTTTGATTTGCATCAACATGATGTACAAGTTTATCCACATGTGGTACAAATAAGCAGACATTGATATTAATTATAATGGCTGAGATTAATTAAAAGATGCAGAAGTTACACGCAACAATAAGGATGAACATATCTTTATCTTACCTTTTTTCTATCTATTATTTTTCTAATAACAAAGGGAGGAAGATTTCATGATTCTATTTTTGTTACCCCTTTATATCCGTTAATTTTATATTAACCACAAAGATTAACGACTGGGATCTACAGAAAGGATTGTTAATTTTCTTTTGTTAAAAGAAGGATTGTTTTTTCACTTTTTTCGTATGTCATTGATTTTTTTGACGAGTATGTCGTTGATCTTTTTTTAGATGAGAGCATGTCGTTGATTGAACAATTCGTCAGGCCGTCTCCACGAGCTGGGCTTCGGGCTGTGTGCTGAAGTTTTTCAGTTTATGGCCCGGCTCATGTCAAAAAGAGAATTATGGCCAGGCTGTATTGGCCTCCGCTGACACCGTAACTGCTGAAATCACTAATCGAGGAGTACTCATCCCAAAGATCACTCATCTTCAGGTTACGACCAGTGGCGACCTGAGACTATTTCCTTTTTTTTTCATACATTCATTTATTCAAAACGTTTTATTTCTTAAATCGTTCAAATCTCAACCGTTTTCACCGTTGGATTCCTCGCGTCGACATCTTCAAAACAAGATCTCATGTTGATAGGTTTTGACGAATGTTTTTTCACGAAGGAAACCAGATGAAAAAACCGAACCGGGAGCATGTCCTTTTCCCCTTTTCAGAAGCCGTTTCGACAGGCACGACCGTGCCTCTCGCGAAGAAAAAAAAAGAGAAAACACATTTTTTTTCCGTTTCTGAGAGGCACGGCCATGCCTCTCGCGAAAGCAAAACCGTGCCTCTCGCAGAAGAAAAAAAATCATTTTTATTTCATTTCCAAGAGGCACGGGTGTGCCTCTCGCGGAAGCAAAACCGTGTCTCTCACGGCAGAAAAAATAAAGAGAAAACACTTTTTTTTTCATTTTTGAGAGGTAAGGCCGCGCCTCTCGCGGAAGCAAAACCGTGACTCTCGCGAAAAAAAAGAGAAAACATGTTTCTTTTTTCGTTTTCGAGAGGCACGGCCGTGCCTCTCGCAGAAGCAAAACCATGCCACTTACGGAAGAATTTTTTTTTTGGTTCCGTGCCTCTCGCGGAAGCAAAATCGTTCCTCTCGCAAAAGAAAAATCATGTCTCTACCGTGGTGTTTACTTGCCTTGAGCCATACACACCCATGATACTTGATTGCATGATTTCATATGCGCTCTCTCTATGACCCCATTCTTATTTTTGGTTGAAAGAGCAGACGCGTCAATTTTCTCTCCCGTTGCAACGAACGGGCATATCTGCTAGTTTTAAATTAAATTTCACATCGTAAACATAATAATTAAAAAAAATGTTTCTACCTCATACACTTCAAATTCAAACACAAGTCCCACGCCGAGCAGTACTACGGTTCTACCGCACCCGTCCCCGGCTTCAAGGGAAGGGAACAGATCGATGTCGTTCCCCTGGCCCCGCCGCGCCCGGCTGCCATACCTAGCGGCGGCTACGCGGTGCTCTCGCTCGGGAAACCCCAGGAGGCCGCCAGCCCAAACCCAACCCCGCCATTCGACGAGATCGGTATGGCCAGGAACGCCTGATCTTCACACCGCTACATGAGATTCACTTGACTACGTAGCACTACAGCAAAGTTGCGTTTGACAAAACAGCGAAGACAATGAGATTCTGTGGACAGATGCCAAGATGAGGCTGATGATTTCCCCCCTTTCATATATTCAGCCAAAGACAGGCAGAAAGGCGAATCTGCCCCATCCATCCAGCCACATGATTTCCCAGGCACACACGCAGTTACACACAGAGCATCCAGTTAGAAATCACCACAACAATCATCAAAACTCAGTTACCAGCCTAGACTACAGTCAGAACCTAGACGATGAATCTGACTGTACATTCTGCGTTTCACACAGTTCACTATGCACTTGTGCAAAAGCTCAGGTCACAAATGTTACTACTGCAGTCAAGAAGAGCCGCCGCCGGAGGAGGAGCCCGGCTTCCCCTGCTTCGACGACGAAGGGATGCCCGCGAACCTCGCGTCAGTCAGCTCCTTCACGACGTCGACCATGGACGGTCGTTGACTCGGCTCCTTCGCTGTGCACCTAAGGGCCAAGCGCAGGACCTTGCGCACCTCCTCCATTTCGACAGTGCTGTACACTTCGTCCAGGAGGGCCGGGTCGCAGACGGGCCCGATCTGCTCAGCGCCGTTCAGGGCGTGGGGCACCCAGGCGACAATGTCCATGTTCTCCGGGAATGAGGGATCCACCGCCGTCTTTCCTGTTATAAGCTCGAGCAGGACGACGCCGTAGCTGTACACGTCGGTCTTGATACTGTTTCTGGTGGAAAATGCCAGCTCTGCAAGAGACCACACGGCTGTCAGGTATCAGTCTGTCACTAAAAACTCATGAAATGGAATACAATTCACTATCAATAAATGGTTTGCATCATGCATACCTGGTGCCATATATCCAGTGGTGCCGACGACCCCGGTGGACTGTGGAGCAGCAGAACACTGATCCATGATCTTTGCTATGCCGAAATCCGCGATGCGCGGCACCATGTCCTTGTTTAACAATATATTGCTTGGCTTAATATCTCGATGAATGATCGCAGGGACAGAGTCATGGTGAAGATATGCCAGACCATGGGCAGTTCCAAGAGCTATGTTATAGCGCATGCTCCAGTCCAGACTCGGCGTCCGGATCCTGTGCAGGACATCATAGAGGCTACCATGCTCCATGAAGTCATACAGTATGAACCCAGAGTCGCCTCTCACCCAAAATTCCTTCAGCTTTATCAAGTTCCTGTGCCGAACTTTACCAAGTGTCTTCAGCTCTCTGATCATGCTTTTGTAGGAGCTGCTGCGCGCTGAAATCGCAAGCTTCTTTATGGCAAAGACCTCCCCTGAATTCAATATTGCCTTGTACACAGTCCCATGCGCACCTGCGCCTATGATATACTTGTCATCAAAGTTTTCTGTCTTTTCTATGATCTCATTTAATTTAGAAGAAGAGCCTTCAAGCAAATTACTGATTGTCTCCTCACTTTTTGTCTTCGAATCTCGATTCTTTAGAAGGATACAGCAGAGGATAAGTACCGCTACTGCTCCAATGAACAATGAACCAAGAATAATAAGAGCAACCTTGAATCGACGCTTTATTCCTTTTTTCCCTGATCCTCCACAAGGTTTCAGCACATTAGATCTCTTGCAAGAAGAATCATTGTCACGGCAAGAGATACAGAGACCCGAATTTCCATTAAAAGAGCTTGGTGTGGAGTTCAGAAATTTCAGAAGATATTCTGGCACTGGTCCACTGAACCTATTATAGGAAAGATTCAAGGCGTGCAATGAATGTAGACTCCCTAATGCGCCGAGAGCTCCAGTGAGGTTATTAACTGACAAATCTAAACTTTGCAGTTCCACCAAATTGCCCAATGGTGTTGGAATATCACCCACCAGTCCGTTGCTGCTGAGATTGAATGCAATGAGTTTGATCAACTTTCCTAACGACGAAGGGATTCTGCCTCCAAGAATGTTGCCACCAAGTTGCAGCTCAAGAAGCATAACCAACTGCGAAAGAGAATCAGGTAAGCCCCCACTGAATTTATTCTCCTGCAACCGTAGTTGTGCGAGAAGCTTCAGGCTGCTTACTGTCGTGAGTGCCGGACCATGCAGAGAGTTAAAACTCAAATCCAAAATAAGCAGCTTGGAGCAACTAGAAACCTGAGCTGGAAGTGCACCCTGTAGACTGTTTTGTGAGAGGTTAAGAACTTCCAAATTCACCAAGTTTCTAACTTCAGGTGGTATTGGACCAACAAGTTTGTTTGCTGACCAGTTTATCATTGTAGTATTTATGCATTTTCCCAAGCTTGCTGGAATATCTCCACTTAAAGAATTATGACTGAAATCCATATAGCCCAGCGCTGCACAGTTTCTAAAATGTGGAATGGGCCCAGTAAGATCATTGTTTTTGAGAATGATTCGTTCCAAACCTGGGCAATCTGCAACATTGGATGGGATGCTACCATTCAGATGATTGAGACCCAAAACCAACACCCTGAGTCTTTTCCTTGAACAAATGTACGGAGGTATTCCACCGGTAAAACTGTTGTTGGTGAAATCAATTTGCTGTAAAGGGCTATTAACACCCAAACCCGGGGGTATGACTCCGGTGAAGAAATTATCGAACAATGTGATGTTCTCCAATAACTTCAATTCAGCTAACTTAAGAGGTAGCTTCCCAGTAAAACCATTGCTGTAAATAAGAACACTTTGAAGGTACCGGATGCTCCAAATACCCTCAGGAAACTCCCCGGTCAGGCGATTCTCGAAAAGAAAGAGCTTCTGCAAGTGTCTCAGATTAGCCAGCTCTTTAGGAACAGTGCCCTCGAGCATGTTATGATCCAACTCTAGCCACTCCAGCAACCAACAGTTACCAATCTCAGGAGGGATTGAGCCAGACAAGGAGTTTTGAGAAAGCATAAGCAAGGTGAGGTTGCTCAATAGGCCAAGAGAAGCCGGAATTTGGCCAGTGAAACGGTTGTCGACAAGTGCAAGTTGTGTCAAGCTAGTGCAATTCCCTAGCCATGATGGAATACCGCCACTCATATGATTGAACGACAATATGAATATCTCCAACTTGCAGTTCTCAAAACTGAAATCAATCTCTCCGGTAAAGCTATTTCCAGTGGCATCTAAAACTTTCAGTCCTTTGACATAGCTCAAGGTTTTTGGAAGGCTCCCGCTCAACTGATTATCCAGTAGATAGAGCTCCTCCAACTTGGTGCAGTTGCCAATTGAATCTGGCAGACCTCCAGATAATGCATTCTTCGTCAACCAAAATGATCTAAGGCTTGTCATTTCACCAACTGATGAAGGGATAGAACCACTGAGATTATTCCCATGGAGGTACACGTCCTGCAGAAACTGGTTCTTGAACAACCCCTCTGGTATTTCCCCACTGAGGGAGTTAGTGTACAACGAGAATGATGATAGTTTTTTTAGGTTGGACAGTGATTCTGGTATTTCACCAGAAAGGAAGTTCATGGAAAGATCCAACTGTTCAAGCATGCTACAATTGCCCAGTTCTTGAGGGATTGGACCAGATATGCTATTGTTTAGCAAAATGATGACTTGTATGTACTTTAGAAGACCTATTTGAACTCCTAATGAACCAGAAACTCCAGACGATGTTAGGTCAAGAGAAACCACATTGTTCCTTTCATCACAACTAATTCCAGTCCAGTTACATGGGGTTGTATCAGAAGCATTCCAACTTGACTTTATGGAACTAGGCAATATGAGATTTTTGGACAGAGCAAGAAGGGCGCGACCATCTGAATTCAAACTCCATGACGTGGAAACCAAACTTAAGAAGAGAAACAATGAATGCCACAATACAAGCCCCATTCCGTTCCTGCAAAAGTTCGTACAGAAGTTAGCACAAGATTGTATGTTTTCTCAAACTGATAGGAAACGAAACAACCGATGCTCAGAATTGTCTTGCAGATATTACATCCTGAGCACAAAAATGGCAGCAAATTTTGCAATCCAGGGCCAGGCTTCTCATACTTTAGAAGGAATTACGCTATGTGCTATGGCCTGGTATACCATGTACACTCCAAGTTGTTTGTAAAAAAAAATGGTGTACATCCTAACAAGAGCTTTCTCTTGAAAAACAAAAAACTGCGAGTTAGGTTTCATGGTTTATGGCTCCTATCACTTTTCAGCATAAATATATGTTACTACTAAATATTACCTCCGTATCAAAATATAAGACGTTTTTGTAGGCTAAAGTAGCCTACAAAAACTTCTTATATTTTGGTAGGGAGGTAGTAATATCTGAGGGTTGTGGTCATACCCATGAGGTCCCTCCAACCATCCCGAACCTCGAACAACCCACCACATGGGCGCAAGCATTCCTAGACTCGAATCTGGGTTCCTATTTATTATACTGTTGATTATTCAAACAAAAATTATTTTACTGTCAGGGTTTCCCCTACAGCTTGTTGTTAAAAAATGTCCTTCAAACAAAAACTTTGAGGTGATTTTATAGGTGAGATAATTTCTTTTTTCCAAGGAAACTGAGGCTATTAGTAAGAAACAGTGTCAATTAAATTGAGGCCCAAGTTGGCAGTTGCTAGGACGTCATTAAATTAATATTTTGTTCATGGATACTGAAAAAGTTGATGTCATCTGCAAAGAATACGTGTAACTAATAAAAAAATATTGTTTTTATTTTCTTTTTGTGGGAAGAAGAGTGCTTAAACTTCTAGTAGCGCTGAGTCGAAGTGGTCCGAAATTCTTCATGATAAACAGAGAAACAAATGGAGAAATAGCTGGAAATCCAATTATATTTTCATCAATTACAAACACTATAATTGTATAACAAAAGTCGCTCAGTTTCAACATATGTATTGTAGTGCGGCAACGCAAATGCGTGGAACATTCGACAGGCTCGATAACAAATTCCTGTAAAGTCAGACAACCAAGCACCATCAACATGCGTACTATGGCAGCGTAGCAACGCAAACACGCGGAATATTGCAAGTTGAACAATAAACTGAGAGAGCATGTGAAGTCAGACCGCAAATCACCATCAACTTTTTTTTTTCGAGAATCAAATCACCATCAACTGAAGAACCAGTTTGTAGTTTAGACAAGTTTAGGAGGACCAGAGAAGCAAAACCCAGGACGACGCCGAAAGCAGCGACAGCCCATGGTTTTGCTACCACCCTCTCCTGGCTGACTCATTTATTTCAGCGAAAGCAACTCAAAACAAGTTTCCCAAAGAGGTTCAGAAATGATAACTCTGATCCGAGGGGAGAAAAGATGATGCTGAATCACAGCTCTTCCCAGGCAGACGAAACCAGTGTTGAGCACCTAGTAACTTTTTAGTTTGGTAATTTGCACACATCTAATTCGACATTTGAGTGGAGAAAATGGGCACTCCGGAATGCTCTGCTCTATCGATTGTTCAGACTTCAGACCTGACCTCCAACCCTTGTTCCGCTAATTAATTTCCGCCGAATAGGTAGGGGAGGCAGCCCAGAAGCATCTCCGGGGAGCCACCAACTTTAATTTTACCCGCGGAACAGTTTCAGTAGGCAAGAAAGAACCAGCGTCATGCTCGTTTGCCCCTTGGCATTGCTCCGAGATCGGAGACTGATTCTAACGAAAATGCAGAAGCCCGCCATGTAACCAAGAAGCAAGAACTGATGTGAAGGAGAATGACCCTGCAAAGGCATCGGACATGCCCAGGGAAGGGATGAACAGCCAGCGCATCGGCCGGCGGTTCCACACAAACAAAACATTCCAGCCCCACCAACAGCGGAAGCACTGTGATAACTGCAACTCGACCCGGCGGAGCGAGGAGAGGAGCGCGTACCGTCCAGCAGCAGCAGTAGCAGGCGGGCGGCGCCCCCGCAGACCTCAGGCGCCTAGGAAATGGAGGGCGGGAGGCGGCGCTAGCTCCGTGGCTGCGCTAATACTGGGCTGGAGCATCCATGGACCATGGCCAGAGAGAGAGGGAGAGAGAAGAAGAGGGGTGGTGACACTGCCGCACTGGCACACGCATGGGAGAGAGAGAAAGAGAGAGAGAGAGAGAGAGAGAGGCAGTCAAGTGGGAGCGGGGGGTGCCGACCTCTGTTGCGCCGCGCTGCGTTGGTAGTTGCCGCAGTGAGTGCGGGCGCGAGTGGGGGCGGACGCGACAGGGGAAATACGTCCACACGCGGCAGTTCACACGCACGTAGGAGCATTCGCGGACGGGCGGTGAACAGTGCAAGTTCCAACACGGGCCTGCGCTTGGATCGGTAGGTGTCAACGAACGCCAGGCTCGCGTTCACACTCATTTTGGTTCGGTTTTGACACTGTCAGGGGCTGGGCCGCTGAGGTTGCTTTCTTCCCCCTTAAAAAGTGTACAGATTGCTTTCTGCCCTGAAAAGTGTTCTTTTAGAAGTAATCACATATATTTGATTACACAAACGAATTCTAAGAGGTAATTGCACTCCAGAGACATTAAAGGGGAGTTGGTAGACTGGGTTTATTCTCGTTCGTGTTTTTCCCCGCCTCACCACCCACCACCCCATTTCACTCGTTTTTTCTCCCTCCTATTAAAAAACCAAATCCCATTAAAAGAATTTTGTTTCATCCTTCAGTTCAATCACGTAAAAAATACGTAATTAAGAATTCAGAAATCGCACCATATATGTGAGATCACCTTCCTAAAAAACAGACATAAAATTTTGTCGATGATCTTCAAAAGCAAAACAAGATATTCCTTCGTAACAAATTGCGCGCGCTATGCCATCTATTATTATTATCACTATCTCTACTATTAATTGGCAATCGCAAGTTTCCTAATTTAACAGAAATAATATATGTTTTCTTATGGGCATACGCATTCGCGCGCCCATGCAAAGGGACGCCGTGCGTGACACCATGGAAGACGTCGTGGCCGTGCCTGAAGCCGGCGTGATGCTCGAGAATGCCAGGGCGTGGATCACGACGTCTAGGACGGCCATGTCGGAAGATGGGTCGTCGAACCGCCAGATACAGGTGTTTGTGGGCGTGGTTGTATTATATTTTTTGTCAGCCATACAGAGAGCCAGGCATGCTACATTCTCAAATCAAATTTGTCCATTCAATGTCAAGAAATGCGTTAAGGGAAATGTATCCTATAATACTCGCTAGTTGTCGTCGTTCGTAGCAACCATTCATGCGAAAATATTTTGGAAATCGAGCACTGAATCAATTTGGAAATCAAACCATTAATGGGATTAACTAGCTAGACAATTAATTATGTATGACATTAATTAGCTTCATTTAAATAGGATTTTTTTTGCATCAAATCAATTTGGAAAATTGAGTCATTAATGTAATTAATTAATTAATTTGGTAGACAATTATTTATGCCTACAGATATTTAGAGGTAGGGATTTTTTTTCCAATTAATCAGATAATTAAATGATTTGGTTAACAATTATTTAGGCATGCAGAGAATTAGATGTTAGGAAACGTAGTACAAAACAAAAAAAACGCAACTACGATTACCCAAGATCAATATGAAGATGCATAACGGGTCGGGATCACGATCGTTACCGTCACCGAGTTGCAGCGGAAGAACCTGCTGGTGTAGATCATACTTGGAGTCCCTCGAACTATCGACGAATGATGTCGCGAACCGCCCACGAATAATCCCTCGAACCGAAGACCGAAAGCACGACCTCTTTACTTGGTTGCAAGCGTGCAACCTTCACGATCTGGCAGTGCTTCGCCGTTCAGAGCTAATCGTCGTTAGAGAATTAGAGGGAGGAGATTAGAACCACACTGTGCTTCTAATTATGAGGATTGGAGGAACTAGGTCTAGTTCTAATTAGATCAAATAGGATCAACTAGAACTAGATGTGACTAGAGGAGGCTCCAAAAGTTGTGTCCAAAGGGACCAAAAACCTCTAGTATATATAGGTGAAGGGGGAGGAGGAGGCGCCACACAAAGGAGAAAGTTTCCCCCTTATGGCCGGCCAAGAGGAGGGGGAAACCCCCTCCAATTCGGCCTCCCCCTTCCTTCCACAAGGAGGGAAGGGGCGCCACATCCACTTGGGCCCAAGTGGTCCAAGTTAATTTTTCCGGTTTGGCCTTTTAAGGCACGTTATATTCAATTTAATATAAAAGCCTTTTGATAAATATTAGACACTTTCATATAATTTTTAACAGCTCTGGAAACATTTTCCACCTATATACTATTTATCGGTAATACCCGGCATTGCCCGATACTCTTCGAAACACTTTTACTGACATGGAAACACTTTCGGATCCTCTCGAAACTAATACGAATATTAATGAAACAATTTCACAAATATGTTCACATCACTCCGTCCTACTGACACCCAGCAGATCGTGGTTGCCTTAAATTTGTGACCCCGTAGGTTTGGTAACTCATAATGAACAGAACCGTCTGTTCATTGAGAGATAGCAGAACCGTGGACGTCCATATCGATCCCTACGAGCACACAAATGAAATTTGAGTGAACGTTTGGTTATTATGTGATGTCCCCTTTGCTCCGCGATACTTCACAAAACCCGGGATGCGTCGGTATCCTCCTGAGTCATCACATGCTCATTATACCGTTATCTTCGTTACCGGTTCTGTTCTTGTTTCTCTTGTCGTGTTCCGTCAACCCTGTGACGTACTCACCTGTGTATGGACAGACGATGATGGACGCCATCACACCGAGAGGTCCGGCCCTAAGAATATGTCTCCATCACCGGAGGAGAAAATCCCACTCTCGAGCTATCTAGTCCTTGTCAAACTTTTCGGTGAACCTATAAGTTGTTGTTATGATCACCGTGTTACAGGTGATGTTCGAGCAACCCCAAAGTCCATCATACAGTAAGAAGTGACTACGATACTCTCATGGTCTAAGGAGCAAAATCACATGTTACTACTTCGTGTTATTACAATTGATTACAGACGAGGCTTCCTTCGTAATAGAAACACTTAGCTAAAACCCCACATC